CGACAGCGACCTACAGGTCGTGTGTCGCAGAGTCGTCGTATACGTAGTACTAGCAACGCGTGCAGCCCCCCAAACAAAAAAAAAAGGAATGCGTGCAGCCAGTGGTGTTTGTCCACAGTCATTCAGTACCCTATCCAGAAACGTGCCACGGATGCAGGGAGGTCCGGATAAAGCGGGGCCCGCACACGCCGCCGTGGCACGTCGCCGGCTCGCCGCTGTGGTGCTCGCGTACGTACGTCTCGTGGGCGGTGGGCGGTGCGACGCCGACGCGATGATGCGCTGCATGCCTTGTGCGCGAAGGCGTGCGGCGAGCGGCGTGGTGCAGCAGGACGCCTGGGCGCCTGGGCCGCCCAGCCTGACCACGCCACTTGCCAGTTGCCACGCCGAGCTGTCCGGGTGCGACAACGTACGCGCGCGCGCGTGAGCAGGTAACCGACGGAGAGAGTCAGAGAGTGCCCGGTAGGTGGGTGGACGCGCCGCTGCTGGCCGGTGCTAGGTGGCGATAGAGCCCGCCGGATCTCCGTTGAGCGTATATAGGACTAGTATAAAAAAATTGGAGGATAAGAATTGACCAGCTCGGCGTGAAGAAGGCTATGCGCCCATACGACTCGGCCGCTTGGGCGGGGGCACCAGCGACACGTGATGGGTCGGCTATGGTCATGGTTTACCCGCGACGAGTGTCTTCCAACTCCCAAGCGTTCGTTCCTGTGTACGTGCGTGTCAGCACCGTGCTTTCCGTCACTATCCTGAAACTGAGAGGGCATATGCACAGTGAGAGAGACCTGTTCATCATAATATTTTTCTCCTACAGTAAATTAACAACCGGTAATTTTTACCTGGCTTTTCAGCAAACCTCCCAAACTACCTCCCATTTTTGCGTGGACCTCGACCGACCGACCAACTAGTAGGCTGCGCCGCTGGGCCGAGAAGCGATCGAAGCCCACTTGATTATTTTCTAACCAAAATGTGTTAACAGCTTCCAAATTACTGTATCTATAAAATGCCGTTTGATTCGACCATTTCTTGGCGTGATTCGACCACACCGTGAACTAAATAAGCTAGGCGGTTATTTGACATTCATAGGCTACAGACTACTCTCTGTCTCTCTCTCTTAACCTCTATCTAATATACTGTGTTAGTTAATTACTGTATGCAGTACTGCACTACATGTTCGTTTTGGATGGGGAGTCCCGTACCGCTTTTTCATTGATTTGTTGTCATTCACTTTGAGAAAATAATATTTCCCATCGGTCTCGGGAAAAGCCTGCCTGCTAAAACCATGATCGGTTCTTCTTTGGATGGAGGACCCGTGATCACTTTTCACGTTTTCATTCACTTTGTAACATAATATTCCCATCGGTCTCGGGAAAAGCCTGTCTGCTCCCTACCACGATCGGTGCTTCTTCTGGTGAACCAAAAACATTGGCGCAGGTCAAAGCCACCCGCGCCATCACCATCATCAGGAATACAAGTCCTCTCTTTCAATTTCATCAGCCTGTTATTAAAAAAAAACCTTCTCTTTTTCGCTGTATTTTCAATCAACAACAAACCTCTCCTCTCGACGTGGATGGGTATCTCCCTTTTGCTCAAAGCTAGTATTATAAAGCAATACGTAGCGTACTATACAACACCGAAACAAAGTGAGATTCGCCTTGATCCATATGTATACGTATATTCCAGCAAGTCGATGTAGTAGCTCTGCTCGACTGTTATTTTTTCTGTGGCTGTGACTGTGGTGGCATTTGATTCTCTTTCTCTAGCCATTGTAGGTTTTGAGGGTTTGGTGGTGGCTGCTGCAGCAGCAGTTGCAATTAGGGCATCCGATCAAGCTGAGTTGTTCCTGTATTAGCGGCATAGTTCGGGCAAAATTTTACATGAGATGAAAAATACCTTGAGTCATGTTTAGATGCTCATGTATTTATCTGAATCAATATGTGTTGAAATAGATTGATGTGAAATTTAAACTAAATTTTATAGCAACCTACCCCAACATAACTAGATGAAGTAAATAATAATCCCATGAGTGTTTTTTAGACTGTTGGCTGACGAGCCATGCAGTAATTTCCCCACCATGAAGCATGCTTTCTTCTCCCATCATTCACCCGCTGAACTATAGCTGTGGCCACTCCTGGCTCCGTTCGACAGGACTTATTGCTGCTGCGGCTGATTTGTATGGCTGATTTGTTGTAAGAGAAAAACATTGTTCCATGGATAAAAAAGTAGAGCTGATTCTGGCTTATAAGCTTAAGCGAACAGCACCCCCATTGACTAGGGATGTTTCGCATGTTACCAGCTGCTGACTGCTGTTGGTTACCTCGCTCGCTAACCGATTGAGCCTAGAACACTTGAGACGCCATGGAGATGGAGCGGGAGGTTAGAGGCAGCAGACCCAGGACGTTCATGCGCCGCATTAACATTACTCTCTCCATTCTAAAAAGAATGTAATCCTGCGTTTTAAATCATGTCCTATAAAGAATGTGATCGTAGACTTGAGATCACCTTTTTCAATGGGATCCACGTATTAAAAATACCACTACTCTATCCATCCATGAAAAGAACGTTCTAGAATACATTTATTGTTTTTCAATTTCTACCAATGGGTAGAATGATGGAGGAAGGGTAAAACCATAATTTTACAACACACTAATCTTACTTTAAAAAGTGAGATTTATATTCTGATGAGGAGGAAGTACTATAAATTAAGCCGTCGGTCTCAAACGATCCAGAAGCTCCTAGACACGCATGCAGCTAGCTTGGCGACGGCCGACGGGGACAGCCACACACCTCTGCCGTCCTTTTATTAATGGGATTTCTGACTTGTGCAGAAGCAGAACAAGAATTACTCCGTCTCTGTTCTTCATCTGCTGTTTATCGGTGGTGGAGAGTAATTTGTTTGACTTTCTGAATAGTATTTTTCTTTCGTATGCCAGATGGCATTTTTCGTGTAACTAGTAGTTGTCTTTGTGGTGCCTTGTCTGGGTGGGAAATTTGGGATTTCAATCTATGATTTTAGAGATTGGTGGTTCATTCGTCTCTGTTAAACGTCTGTATGTATATCTAGGAGCGTAATTTGTTTGACTTTCTGTAGTGTTGCGTATGCCAGATGGCATTCAGCGTGTACTAGTAGTTGTCTTTGTGGTGCCTTGTCTGGTGGGAAATTTGGGATCTCAAACGCCCACCAACATACGAGTACGTCAACAAACCACCAACATGGCGTGCAGGTAGCCCCTACCCTAGCAGCTAGCTTCCACACAAGTCTGCATCGGCATTCTTTTTTTCTTTTTCCATTTTCCGTTGATTCCTATACAAGCATGAAGCATCTGGATTCTGCATGCAACTGCAAACGGTCATCGCGTTCCATCTTCCGTGCACATGCCGATGCAGCCTTCGACGACGAGAGGAATAGGAAGAGCGTGAAGGACGGCAATAGCGAGGCGGATGAAAATGATTCACGCGCTCGCTTCTGAATTCTGATGAATCAGCTTCTTCCTGCGAACCTTTTGCATCATCTCAAATCATCCGTGTACTGTCCTTCGGTCCTTGGGAAATGAAAAAGTGATACTGAGATTTTGGGTTTCCATTCTTTCTTTTATGATTTTTTTTGAGAAACTCTTCCTTTTTTTTTTAGAAACTCCTCCTCTGATTTTTTAGGCGGATCTGCCGCAACCCGTCGCGCAGTTGCATAGCGCGCGACCCCAGCACCCCGCGAGCGAGGCGTGACCCAGCCCCACGCTCCTTTCCATTTTCGGCCGCGCCCAATCCCACATCCGCTGCCGACCGCCACCTCATATGCGCTGACTCGAATCGGCCGCCCGCTACCTTCTTTTCGCTCGGATCTAACGGCTGCCACCCTCACTGCATCGATCTGGAATCTGCCTCTCCTCCCCGCAGATTAGATCCTCCTCTCCGCAATGAATACATGAATGCAGGTAATCTCCCTCTTCCCCAAAATCTTACCTATCACTGGAATCGATCTTCATCCATTCCTCTGCAAACGATTTGCGTATGCATCTGGATCGGTCGGTGGAACACATACTAGATGTGGATTTCGAGGTCCAGTTGCTTGACATCATTCCATATTAGGTGGAACGATTGGGTCTCCTCTGTTGCTTTGATTGATTGATCCCAAACATAATCGAAAGCTGCATCTTAGTTTTGGTTACAACCATGGATCTGTTCAGAGATATAAATGTAGGCATCTATGAAAATGTTGAAATGGCAATTGTTTGTTGCAGATTGTAAAAGAAGTTGCTCTACATTGTAAAATAAGTTGCTCTACATTGTGGCGACATTGTCTGTTTACGTACTGCAAAAACTTTGGAATGACATTGTAGTTAATTGTAGGTTGCTATAGTTTGTAGCAAGTTTTTATCTGAAAAAATTGATGTAATAACAGAGAAACAGTGAAAACAGGGGGGGGGCTGACAGTGAAAAAAACTTGCAAATCAATGGCTGCATCATATTTCTAGTTACATCCATGGGGCCTGATGATCAAAAAAGAGAAAAGTGTACACATCTATGTAAAATCTTGAAATGGCATATTATTTGTTGCAGATCGTAACAAGTTATGATGTAGGGTGCTCGCTCGGGAAGGGAAGGGAGGCCGCAGCGCGTTGGATGTGGGGAGGGGGCGTGCGGTCTGCTGGGCCGGCCCGTCGCGGCCTGGTGTCGCGCGCTCCGCGCCGAGCGCGACCGGTAGCGCGTTAGACTTTGCGTTTTCTTTTGAGGGGAAAAAACTCTTCCTTTGATGATCGTACCAATCGCCAATTTACCAAACTCTTGTCACGGCCCATGGTTAAAACTGGGACTAAAACACAACTGGGCCTACATAACAACTGGGCCTCATTTGATGAGGCCGACGACCACCAAGGCCTCGAAGGTCCACATTTGCGGAGGCCACACGCGACGAGGCCCCCCGACGATTTTCCGGCCCATTGGACCGCTACGAGCCTACGACGGAGGAGCGAAACGCGCAGGACAGGCCGTACGGTGTCCGGCGAATGGCGGCGATGGGCGGGAGCGGCGGGGGCGACGACGACGCGGCGGAGGGCGAAGGAGCCGGGTTCCAGTGGGATGCCGACTCCCAGCTCTACTACCACGCCAGGTAACTGCTTCGTTTCTCGCTACGTGCTCCAGCGTTCCGCTGATTGGGCGCCGCAGACGGTCGCTTCTGGTGGCCCGGGATTTCCCGCGACCCGTTCCGTTAGTGCGTGCGGTTTCAGTTCTCCTCACGGTGCGAGCTGATGCGTGAACATGATCGTTTTGGCAGAAAGCGGGTAGAAACTTGTGATGGCCACACATGAAAGGAAGCTGCAGATTTAGGGTGTTTGGTTGCCGCTTGAGTGCGTACCTGTTATGTTTTCTTTTCTGTTCAATTGATTGATGGTTGGTTCTCTCGCGTAGTTGTGATTTTCTCTTGAATATATGCCTCTATCTGTACTGATTTGGGGTTCAGTTGTCTCAGTTGTGGATATCATATGCTGCAGTTGGCTCGAAAAGCACTGGCTCCTATGTCAGAGAATGTTGTCTAGAAAGAACATGGGGATTTTTTTGGTTGCACTATATGTTTGCCTTGTCACCTGTACATGCTACTGGAGAAATCTGTGAGATGTAGTGGGTGTTGGGTTCTGTGTATCGAGCAGTTTGACAATCATATGGGTTATGCTTTAAGATATCATCATAACCTCATGCATGTTCTTTTTGACGGATCAAATGCAATTATCCTTCTATCTGTTCCTCGAGGTATTTAGAGGTTCGATGAAATTGATGCTCACTTTGTTCTTACTTGTTTGGCTGTTGAGTTCGTGCAAAATGCTGTTCAACTGAACATATTCAAAAGATTATAATTAAGGACACAGTAGGCTCTCGGTGCAGCACATTTTTCCTTCTAAGTATAATACTATTAATTATGTTTCAATTATGGCCTGTAGCATTGCTCTGTTTCAAAATACGCTTTTGATATTTACTTGAATTTATCATTTTCAGTACTGCTTTTTACCATGACCCTGTCGCTGGATGGTACTACAGCAGCAGAGATGGCCAATACTACATCTACAAAAATGGAAATTACATGCCATTGATGACAGATCTGGTAATTACAATTTGAGCTAGCTCCTCCAAATTCCTCAGCTTGCTGTTGTCTCAAGTGACTTCTGCATTCTTACATCTGTAAACAGGAAAATGAACCCACAGCAAAGTATCCGTATGATGAGGCCAACCAAGATGTCTTGGAACACTCTTGTATGTATCTTAACTCAAATTAGCTGCATTTTGAGGGCATATTCAATCACTATATCTTGTTTCAGATTCTGGTTCAGTGTCTATTTCTTGTAATAGGAACATTTGATCTTTAAATTCAGACACCAGTGACTAACAATAATGAAATTTTAAGGGTCAAAATGTATGATTTTGAGTTTCTCTGATGGGGAAGGCATTGTAAGAATAACATGATTTGTTTCCATGTTTAACAGCAGGCTTGTTAACAGCTACACCTGACAATGAGAATGAAACACTGGGACCGCCATCAGTTCCATGTTCAACAGCAGGCTTGGAAACAGCTACACCTGACAATGAGAATGAAACACTGGGACCGCCATCAGAATGGTTCTTGCTTAATCAATTAGCTCGCTTATATTTTATTAATAATTAGTAATTTTTAGTGTTCGCTCTTGGCTTTTTTGTTTTTAACTTTTTTTTTGGTTTTCCCACAGGATGGAGGAAACACTAATAAACTTGTATTTGTCAGGCTACTCAAACAGTGAAGTCAATGCTGAAAGTTCATTAGGAAACACACATACAAATGGTTAGTATTGATTTTCACTTTACTTTCTTATGTTGAGAGGTGCTGAAGTTTATACAATCAGCCCTAATGAATTCGCAATCACCAGAGGAAGGCGGAATTGAGACAACTGGGAGCAAACTGGATAGCTTGACCTCGGACAGTGCTTCAGTATCTCTGAATGATGCTACATCAGAGCAAATTGAAGTTGAAACAGAAACAAAGAATTCCAGTGATGTGCATGAATCTTTGGGGGAAGGTGAGTAACCCTTCTATTACTGCCTTAATTTTCTCAGTTCATAACAACAATAACAACAACGATAGCAGCAGCAGCAACAAAGCCTTTTAGTCCCAAGTAAGTTGGGTATGTTAATGTTCTTGCTCTATAATCTGAAAACTGAGTACTGTGAAGCCCATAACAAATGTGCAGCACTAACAGATATCAGCATCTTGATTATCTGGTTTTTTGTTATTCCATGTTAAATTGTGCCAAGTCTGACTAGTATTTGGTTTTATTTAATGTTTCCCCAGAGGAAGAGAAATGGCTTGCTCAGTATGGTCAGGTAGAGAGGTTAAATGATGATCAACCTTTACCTCCAACAATTGATATATGGGATTGGGATGTGGTCCAAGATCATGTTAGCAAAGGTCAACCTGTGGTTAGGCTTGTGGGGTGCTTATCTAGGGGTTCAAGTAAGCTTCATCCTTCTCTGCCTGCTCGTGGTGGCCTTCTAAGGACTGCTCCTGTGCGTGAAGTTCATCTTGATCTCGTGCGAGTTTCAACAGGTAAGATTGGCTAGGTTCTACAAAGACTGGACATGTGCCATTATACATGTTGGGAGAAATAGCAGGTTTTCCTTCATAATATGCAAGTCTTGTTTTGTTGAAACTAATATCAACTGACCTTTTGCTACACATATCATCACTTAGGATAGACCGGTGGGAAATCCCCTTTTCCCCTGAATCTTAGAAAAGCTATATTTTTAAGAGTTCTAATTGTTTTTGTTGCTTACAAGTACTCAATTTTTCTTATTATCAGGGAAGCTGTACAGGCTAAGGAACCCTAGCAGAAAGCACTTAGCCTCTTTATCCACATATGACTCTTCCAACCCAACAAAAGATTGGGGGTTTCCTGATATTAAGTTGAATAAGCAGTCCACTGTAAAGTGCCAATCTGAAGTTCTTACTGATGAATCTTGTATCGGGGGAGGTGTCTCAGCTGCTAATACCATGGCAAGTTAACCTGAAATGATTTTGCATTACGATTTGCTAAAGTATTGTTAAACTGTCAGCAGATGTTTACTTTCCAGACAGTAAATTCATCATTGGACTTTATGCTCCATATGTGTTTGAATTGAAATCCAATTGTGCAATGTATCATTTATTGTGTCTCTTGATGAACTGATATAATCTAAATCAATAGTGGAAGGTCTAGACACAAACTCTAGGTGGGTTGGATAGACAGTTAACTATTTTTCTCTTCACAAGAAATTCCCTATGAATTGAAATAATACTATTAGGTTCTCGACTCTTGTCTTGCAACACTTCCTGTTGATGTCTCATGTGAAGTAACATACAGCATGCAGCCTGATTCAGTTTTGCAATCAATGTGTAGGCAGTATTAGTCTGAAAAGCTACACACAGCATCTTATGGCACGGAGCGCTATATTTGTGTCTTATTGATTTTCATGGCTATAAAAACCAAACTATTTTTTTTGTTGGACATATGAACACAGTGGGATTGGAGGGCTGTAGTTGTGCCTTATTGATGCTTGTAGCTATAAAGCCCAAATTTCCTTTATAGGGACGCAGTTGATTATAAGTTACCTGACAAGTCTTTGAATTTATATTGTTTCCATACTATTTGGTACAGAAGTCAGCAAGTCAATATACTTCTTATGAATGATGTTAGATTATTCCATGTTCTTTTCTCAAAAATAAAGTAATGAAGCATTTGTTGATTTGTTCCACTGTATGGCTATTTCTCAGTTCTCACCCATAAATGGTTAAAGATAAAAATCAGTGTTGGTGCTTTTGATATCAGCTGTAGTTTTGAGATTTATATTATATTTTCAGGAGCAAAAGACAAAAGCTTACAGGGACAGAGCTGCTGAGAGAAGGATCCTACATCGTGGCTTAGGGTTGGGGCCTGGACAGAAGCAGAGTAACACCAACAATTTCGATGAATACGAGGAACCAATTGAGGACATGGATTCAATGGGAACTGTGTCGGTTGATTTGAATTTCCGATCCAGCGGCTTGCTTTCTGCTAAGAGAATAATGGAGAACATGGGATGGAAGGAGGCATGTGATTGCCACTCTGTCTATCGTTTATGCTTTGTCTGTATTGGTAAAAGTTTTTTGCATTCTAGAACCCTGGTGAATGATGTGTTTGCCACTCTGTCTATCTGCAGGATAGTGAGGATATTTGTTTTTAATTTTCATTCCATGCTAATTTGCTTGGACACCTAGTCTCTAATCTGTTTCTATTATAAAAAAGGTCTGTCAAATCTCAATTCATATGGAGAGATAGATACATCGAGTACAAGGGCTACCTATATTGCCTGCAGTGAGTTTTTATAACTTTGTAACAGGGTATTTTCATGCTGCTAATTTATATTTACTACCAGTGGCAATAAGAAATTAAGAACTAATTTTTTGGTGAACAATTATTCTAATTGACCATTTTTTTCATAAATACATGATCTTATATCAGGTTATGATCTTCTGAATAGGTGGAGTTCCCATTGATCTATTTCATTTTCTCAATTTTTTAGGGAGAGGCCCTTGGAAAAAGTAGAAAGGGTATTGTAGAACCTATACAGCCTACCATCAACAAACATGGTGCCGGTTTGGGATGGAATCAAACCCGCTAAGATGTTCCTTTGAAGATTCCAGTCTGTGTTTTGTATCATCTGGAGGTAAGTTCACGGAACTGCATTGAACTTGATTCTAATTTTTGCTGTTCCTCTCGCACAATTTTAAAATGTGATCTATGTGTAATAATCCATCAAATTTGGTGTTCTTGATTCAAGTGCAACTATTTCAACGAAAGAATTGAGGCAACTGACTTGTGTTTTCTGCTTTAACTCTGGTGTTTTTTGGACAGCAGTGTATTTACAGCAAAGTCTTCTTGAACATCTTTGTTTGTTGTGTGGCTCCTGAGTTAAAACCCATGGGCATGGAGATATTGGGCTGACGAAAGGCCCATCTTATGACACAGAAATCAGTAACAACTTTTTTTGACAACAACGTTGGAGAAACAAGCTAACTCATCTTGATCATAGTGCAGTGTGCATGGGTAAATGATTAGTCCCTTAACTAATTTGCTGCGACAACACATGAGTATGGTACGCTGCTGCTTTCTTGCCTTCTTTCTCCATTCCCTTTCCATGTAAAAACTGATCAGCTTTTCACACCAGAGCTAGTTTTGAGCCTCCATGCATGCTGGTTTATCATTGCTTAACAGATTTTCTTTGGCAACATACTTGTGAGCTAAGCTTAATCATGGTAATATTTTTTGTGCTGCTAGATAGCTTAGATTAGCCTCATTTTTTATAACATTACAAGGAAAATTTTCTGAACCTGTATATGGAATCTGTTGTCCCTATAAAAAGAAGAACAGGAAGGTGTGCTGTTTTTGTGAGGGTAGAAGAACTTACAATTCAAGCCAGTGTTGCCTGTCCCAAATAGAAACCCTAGTTCCATTGTAAATACTCTGCGTGTTCTACTCATTGGAATTACTATCTTCTACGGGATAGAGGTGTTGTGTCCTGGTTAATTAAGACTTCTCATTTACCAATGGGAATTTGGAGTAGAGGGTTCATCTAGATCTCTGAGCCTGCAAAATTTTGAGTACATTGGCAGTGATTTTTTAACTGCAGCTTCCTATCGACACAAATTACAAGAAAGAATAGGTAACAATATTAATTTACTACTGCTAGCTGCTGATGGTAACACCATCAAGAGGTGTAGATCTAATCCTTTTGTTAAGTTGCAGAGCAGACAACCACTGTTAGAAAGAGCTGGTATTGTTGATTCTTACTGTATAGTAAAGCTGTTCTGTGTGTGTTACCACTTAACCCGAACAAGAGACCAGCTATTGTTATTGCTCGTTCAGAGGTTCTTGCTGCAATTAAAATTTCTGCCTATGATGAGTTGATGACCTTCTGTCATTGCTGCATGCACATATAATGGCATAAGCAAGCACAATTTTACTATGAAGAAAGCTTTCGTGCATTGAGAAATAGGTTGGAGATATCTGTAGTTCATTTGTAATTGCCTTTTGTGGTTTGATTTTGACTTTTTTTGCACCAATCCTGCTAAAGACTATATATTTTCCCTAATTCCCTCACAGGAGTTAAATGGCAGTTGGGCCATTGCCATATGGATGTGCATATCAATTATTCACAATGTATTGAAAATTTTGCTTGCATAAATTATGTCTTTCCAGCTAGCACAAATCATGTGCCTGTACTCGCTCAGTCACATCAATATCAAGTTGTATATAGAAAATTAACTAACACATTACGTTCTGCACAATAGGACAGCATATGTAAGTTGTGTAGCATATGTTTGTAGAGATTACTGAATTGTGGTATGTCATCAGGGAAGTATGCAACTGCCCTGGCAGCAACTATCATGGTATTTTATCTTCCTGAGGGCTGGGTTCAAGGCAATCACGCTCAGTCGCTCACCATGGATGCTCCACGCCTAGCTGCTGCGAAGCTGACATCAAGAACAGGTCAGTTCTTGGCAGCCCTTGGCTCTCAGATCTTGAAATGAGTCACATCCATGCCTTGCACAACTGAGCACCATTTTGTTGTGTTGCAGATCCTTCCACCGCTCTTGATGCTGAAGAGAATTTTTAGGGTCTGGACCATGGCAGGATGGATCAGGTTTTTGCCAGCTTCAGAGTTCATTGCAAATTATTTTTGTCCGGCTTCTTAGCCATGCTCTGGGAGTGGAAGGTGATGCTGCTGTCATCGTCCGTTACTGGACAAATTGACCACCCTGGAAGGTGATGTTGCTGTCAGCCATCTCTTGCATTATCGTGCTTTGGTACGCCGATGCAGATGCAGAAAACACCAGTTCTGAAACACAATGCAGCAGATGTCAGTGTACTATGTTGTAACATGCCAGAAGAGGACCTTCAAGCAGTAACTTCGAGATGTTATCTTTCTAGTTAATCCTACTCATAAAGGTTTGTAGTAGGAATCAAGTATAGAAGTGTCATGTAATGATGTACAAGTACAATAGAGTAGTGTCGTGTGTAGACTGAGCTTATACTTAGTGTGTGTGTGTGTGTGTGTGTGTGTATGCAATGATCCGTGAATAAATTTACTTTTGAAGAGAATATATATCCATTAGAAACCGTATTGACTATCAGCTCATACTAGTCATTCTGCACTTTCTAGTGTGTGAAATTGTGAATTAGTACCTTTGCTAACCAAGTCTCTTTGTGCACAGAAGTATAATGAAAAGCAAAGCTCGCCTTTCTCGGGAGTGATTAACAACTATCCTAGCGGTGAGCAAGGAAGGTATTTATACTGCTGCATATGATAAAAGTTGATGAGATCACGAAAAAGGGAGGGAAGAAGTTGGTTAGGAGCTCTATTATATTACTACTACTTTTTTCCCTGATTGCTTTTTAGGGCGGAAAGAAATATAAGGGCTCAATTCCACCACCCGCAAAACCCGGAACTACACTCAAATCCCGATGTGCTTCTCTAGATGAAAGCAATATCTTTATCTACTATATGGTAATCACTGAATACGTGGGTTCAGCTGCAAAATTTTGTCCTGTGCAAACTTTATATCCCATATTTGAATTGATAATGAGACCACTTTTGTGTCATAGTTGTTGAGTGGGCATATGACCCTAGAACTCCATTCGATTATGTGCGATTTAATGGTTTTATTCTAAGGGTTTTTTTTGTTGCAATCCTCTTAGACAAGGAACCGACTAGACCACAATCTGGTCCCGAGGCATGTGTCCGACATCGGACGCCTGGGATTGCTCTGCCCACCTTGCCTGAGGAGCGAGGAGGAAGCAAGCAGGCGCTGAGCAACTTATGTAGCAAAGATCGACTGAAGTTTAGTGACTCTTGCTGCACTTGCAAACACCAGCATAAATTAGCTAGAAACAAACTTGTTAACCAGTCTGCCAGTGCTTACTTAATTTTGCGTCCAAATCTATGTCCCTTTATATTTAGAAAGAGACATAAAAAGGAAGAACGTATCATAACATCTAAGAAATTTAAACTTTATTGAGCATTTTACCATGTAGAATCTTTTAGGAAGTCATACAAAAAAAACAAGTAATTATTCAAACGTTTTGCAAAGTACATGTTAATAATGTGGTTGTGTAACAATGAACACCCATAGGTCAAAAATTATATCCGTTTTTTTTTTTTTCTACCACTGTTCACCTTTCTTTAAAACTTGTCAGTTAGAGTCCAGCGATCTTTTTGGGCAATTTCAGTGGTCAACCAGTGTTGATCGGAATGTGATGGCATAAGGGAGAAGTGGTGGTGCACATTTGGAAGGAAGCATATCACAGGAGCTCTTTGAAGTAAGGAAGCACTATCACAAAAAACATTATTCATAATTGTTGTGATGCTTTTTTTGTTTAATATGGGGTAAGCATAGGATTTATAGAAGTCAACCATGTGTTTTATGCAGTTTCAACATATGATTTTTTTGCACCATAGGATTAAGATCCAACAGCCTCCACCCTTCTTCTATTTCCAGCCTCCACAGATCACAGATCAAAAAAAAATTCTATGAAAGGATAAATCACAGATCCGCCGCCGCCGCGGGCGCTGGGGCGAGCTCATCAATCGCCGTCACCGGCGCCGGTGGTCACCGGTGAGAAAGAGAGAGGGAGAGAGATAAAAAAAATCCAAGTGTATGTTATATAGCATTTCTGTACATTTTATAACAGTATGCATGGATTGATTCCGGTTTCTAAGTAGTAAGTGCATGACTAGACCCTTAACTAACAACCAACATCATGCCCAGTTAGGCGCGCGTTTAGATGTAAAAATTTTGCTTTGGCAATTAGTGGATCCCAAAGTTTAGCTTTCTCCCCAACTGTGCAATTAGTTTTTTTTTTCTCTACAACTTCATACAACAGAACTAAAAAGGCCCTTCGCTCCCAGCTCCAACTTCCAACAGCTTGCCGTGCAGATGCAGTACAGTGGGGTCAAATCACTGGCACTGTTTGGACAGGAAAGGACACGTCACCACTTGTTTTTCCTTGTGAACAATCCTTCTCCAGTACCAGTAGTGAAAGTGTGAAACGACGACAGCTTGTTGCTGCTTGCTCCTGTCCTTGCAGGAAAGAAAGAAAGGCTTCCGATTGCAGCGGTCGAGGTGGCGCAAGTTCCAATCGAACAGAGTTAATGGACGTGGAGTTGTCTGTGCCCTGCAAGGGAGAAACCAGTAAAGAACTTGTGATCGAGGCCCTGACGCCCAATCAAAACACCATCCTGATGCAAGCCATTGGGCACTGGCTGCTGTTGCTTGTGTAGCAGTGTACTACGGACTACTTCTACAAGTGAAAATCTTTGAGAGATGAGATGAGCCTCTGGAACTGGAATTGTAGTGCCTTCTCTCCTTTTGATGTGTGGTTTTCTGGTCTCCATGGATGCCTTGCCTTGACCTCACCATGCATGAATAGTGAGCAACCAAGGAATTGCAGCATTGCACTTACACACCAGGCATAGCTGCCCCACTCTAAGCTCTTTTTGTTGCTTGCTCATAATGGATTAGGCCACTACTGATGATGCTTGCTTATGTCTACTCCATGATCAGTTAACTGCCTGGGGCTGGGGCTAAATCAAATGGACACCTAGTACTAGTGAAGTAGTGACAGGATTAGCAGCACCATCTCATCAACCCCCTCACATGGGGCCTTTCCCTGTCCTTGCGAGACTTGTATTCTTCTTGTCTTTTTAGCCCATGCATGTGCCCCTACCACCCCCACCCCCCATGCCTAGATTCTCTCCTTGCTCCCCGTCTCTCTCACTCCCTCCCAGTCCCACTGCTTCAATTTCAATCTCTTGCCGACAACAATTTAACAAAGCGATCTTTGCTCCTATATCTAATTGTTGTCTTTACTAGTTTCCTCCCAACATTACTGTTATTTTAGCTCCATTTACTATTCTCGTAGCTTGTGTATCTCTAGATAGTCTTGACATATTGGGCCTTAACTTGTGCCTTATTATGGATTTATTATGACTATGAAATTCTTGAAAACCACCATCTTTTATAGTTTTGTGAATGATTTGCTAATTCTATGAGTACTGGCCATCTTTAAAAAGGTATTAATTTTCTTGTGCAGCCTTTGAAGGATTAATGTCACAATTTCTGGGATTATCCCCATTTGCTAAAGGTGCATCATCATAGTGCTATATATAACTTAATTAATGCTCGTTTTATTCCGTGTCCAGATTTTGTACGACTGCATGTGATTGTCCTTTTAACACAAAGTACACGTCAATCGCTATCTTCGCATTTTTTCTGCTTCGGTTGGACTAATAATCCTGAAAGGGATCCATAGTATCCGGTCTAATCCATAAATATTTACAAACAAATGATGCCAAAATATATGATGCAATGGAGAAATGTTGGATGAGCTGATGCTGTCACGCGGCAAACCAAGTCAAGAGTCCACTGCCTCACGTGATCCATGGATCACTTTTGCTCTCCTTGTTATACAAGATCATATTGCGATCCCATTCATCAAAGATAATATCAGCGTCTGCAGTTCAACTTGTTTTAAAATGGGCTTAATCACCGTTCTTAATTACGGCTGCCAGAGCTGCATGCCAAAACTTCAAATCCTAGCATTTGGTCAAAAATGTGCATGTACTATATGCTAGTACTACTAGCATGCAGAAAAGCTGGTGGCAGGCAATAGCCTGATATATATAGCCTGGTAGATCTAGATCATAATGCAGTGAAAACTTTGACAGCTAGTACCGTGCATGGGTAAATCATTAGCCCCTTAACTAATTTGTTGTGACAGAAGATAAACCATGCTACTCTACTGCTATCCTGCTTTCTTTCTCCATTCTTTTCCATCCATCCATGTAAAAACTGACCAGCTTTTCATACCATTGGTCAGCTTTGAGCCTCCCTGCATTGCATGCGGATGTATCATTGCTCAACACATTACATTTGATCTGCCCACATACTTGTGAGCTAAGCTTAATCATGGTAGCATTTTTTTTTTGCTGTTAGATAACTTAGATTTACTGGTGGTAACAAGATGGTTTAACAACTTTACCTGTAAAGTTATCTGGACTAGTACTGTATGTGCATCACACAACAGTCTGTTGTCCCCTGTACGAGAGAAGAAGATGAAGGTGGTGTTTTCTATGGGGTGAAACAACTTACAATGCAGTGCAGTGCCATTGTTGCCTGTCCCAAATAGAAGCCCTAGTTCCGATGTAAATACTCTGCAAGTTCTACTCACTGGAATTACTATCTTCCACGGGATTAGAGGTGCTGTGTCCTGGTTAATTAGGACTGCTCTTTTACCAATGGGAATTTGGAGTTGGAGCTGGGGTAGATCTAGATCTCTGAGCCTGCAAAATTTTCAGTACGTTGCCAGCAATTTTTTAACCGCTGCTAATGGCGGCTTCCTCTCTATTAACACGAATTACAAGAAAGACAGCGTGACACCATTAGTTTATTACTGCTACTGCTAGGCGGTGGTGGTAATAACAGTAGTAGATCTCATCTAACCAAGGACATGTGCCGCCCTCCATCAATGGGTGTGGATCTAATCCTTTTGTTTAACCTGCAGAGCAGAGCCGAGCCGTAACCGTAAGAAAGTGCTGTGATTGTTAATGGTTACTGCATGAAGGAGCTGTTATGCGTGCCGTGTGTTACTACCACTCCAGCTGTGATGTGCCCTTTTACTTTGTTTTCTTTACCCTCTTTTCACCTTTCGGTTTCAACTCTTGAGATTCTTGCTTCAGTCGCTTGCCATCCTGTAGTGCCTGTAATCACAAGTTCACAGCACTGTACATGTGGTTTAAACAAAGGTGATTGCAGAAATATAAGTGGTTTTTGGAACTGAGCATACGAATTAAAGGAGGTAGATGAAGGATTGTTTGCTGCGATTTTCTTTCTTTTGCTTTGTACCTCTCTATTCTATATTGTAATTTATTCTGTCCACTGAGAATGTCCTCATAAAAAGAATTAGGACATATATGATATAAGGGCTAATTATTAGCTAACTAAAAATTAGCTAGAATTAGCCTTAGCTCATCTAAACAGGATGGCTAATTTTCTACCCTAGTCTTTTAACTAGGTGAGAGGCAAAGAGTTAGCTAGCCAATTTCAGCTAATTTGGACTAATTTTTAGCCCCAATTAGTAATTAGCCCTAGTGATTTAAACATGCCTTTACGGATTAAAATAAAAAATGGGCTACAAACTACAGGCCGAAAGACATACGTAAAATTGTAGGCAGATGGAGAGAGAAGTTACTTGCCACGTGTTGGTGGCCTTGTTATTGTAGGCGAGCTGTTACGTTCCCAAGATATTCTTTGCTCACTGCCCCCGCCTTTGCTGCTGCTGTTGCACATGCCATGCAGATGCTGCGGCAGCGCGGCGTGCATGGTGAAAGTCTTTGCCGTGCCAATTGCAAGAATCTGTTTTCTTCAGCAGAAAGGGTGACAAACCAACCAACCTGTTGCAGGCATAATTGGTGAAGCCAAAATTGCACTGTAGTAGGCTGCAGCATACTAGCATCATCCATGGAACAGCAGCAGCTTCACAGCCTTTTCATGACGGTGGAGGAGTTGCCTCAACTGAAACCTAACTGATGCGATGCGATGCGACGATGCAACAGCTTCCCAGCGAATGTGATTCACCATGTTTCCCTGAGGGCCAAAGCTGTTGCGGCTGCAAAAGCAGCCTCTCACCTCCTTCCTTTTCCATCTCAGGATCTCTCCTCCATTCAAGCATTTTGAAACCAAACTCGTTGTCGTTGGTGACTCCTCTCTGAAATTTGAAACCAAAGAAAGCCGTTAATCCTGTATCACCATCCAGCACAGGTAGTATACAATACTGTAGCATTTGCAAATTGACAGTGCATATACAACTAGTAGAGTCATGGATGATGCCGGCATAACATTTGTCTAGTTCCTCCTCTAAAGTTTATTCTCTATCACGTCAGATATTTGACACATACATAGAGTATTAAATATAGACTAAAATAACTAATTGCACAGATTACGACTAATTTGCGAGATGAATTTTTTAAGCTTAACTAGTCCATGATTTGATAATGTGGTGCTACAATAACATGTGCTAATGCTGGATTAATTAGACTTAATAAATTCATCTCGCGAGTTACGAGGACTTCTGTAATTTATTTTATTATTATAACACTCGATGTGACGTGACATCCTAAAATTTACGGTCTGAATTTAAACCTGTGCAGGGAGGGACAGGGGTGCGGAGCGTCCTGACGGCCTGCCTGCCTGACCCTGACCCAACCGGTGGCCTTGGATCCGGAGATTCTGCAGACACACATGAGTGCCTGCCAGTGCCACCCACACCCTCTCTTCTCCCTCCTGTACTGGTACTTTGCAATGTCAGCAGACCCTGCTTCTGCTTGCTGCCACCTAATCTGCCATTTCTCGCTGGTTTCCTGCTCCATCTGACCATCAGTCTACTTCTCATCGGCATATAACAATTTGCATTGCATCCTGGTGTAGTCCATGGCCATGTCAATGGCATGCCTCGGCCTCTTCTTCTCCCTCTACTAAACCTGTTGTCACTGAGGCTTGGCTTAAACCTCGCCACCAATCCACCAACTCCGGGCTTTGCAAAGTTGCAGAGCCACTTTCTTGCGCTGCTGCTGCTGCTTCCGGCACAAGCAACGACACAGATTTGCAAGTGACACCAGCTGCAGCTGATCCTACAGCATCACCTCACCTCATCCCCTTCATCCGGGTTCATCGTAGTTTGGTCGCCTGGATGGATATGCTTTGGGACTGAAGTACAGTGTCAAGTGTAGTGCTTGCTGTCTGTCGACTTGGCAGGTGGCTGGAGAGCTGCAGATCGAGGGGGATGCCTCCTGGTGTGATGATGAGCGGCAGGAATCGAACTCGAAGCAGGTGGAGGGGCGCGTGCGCGTGCGCGGCGCCGCTGCTGCTGCGGTGCGCGCTCGTCATGGCGTGCGTGGGCGGCGCGCTGGCCGTGGACGCGCAGGGCGCGGCGCTGCTGGCCTGGAAGCGCACGCTGCTGGGCGGCGCGGAGGCGCTGCGGGACTGGAGGGACACCGACGCGTCGCCGTGCCGGTGGACGGGGGTGTCCTGCAACGCCGCGGGCCGGGTCACGGAGCTCAGCCTGCAGTTCGTCGACCTGCACGGCGGCGTCCCCGCCGACCTGTCCGCCTCCGCCGTGGGCACCACGCTCGCGCGCCTCGTGCTCACGGGCACCAACCTCACGGGCCCCATCCCGCCGCAGCTCGGGGACCTGCCGGCTCTGGCGTACCTCGACCTCAGCAACAATGCGCTCACGGGGTCGATCCCGGCCGCCCTGTGCCGGCCCGGGAGCAGGCTCCAGAGCCTCTACCTCAACTCCAACCGCCTCGAGGGCGCCATCCCGGACGCCATCGGCAACCTCACGGCGCTGCGGGAGCTCATCATCTACGACAACCAGCTCGAGGGGGCCATCCCGGCGTCCATCGGACAGATGGCCAGCCTCGAGGTGCTCCGCGCCGGCGGCAACAAGAACCTCCAGGGCGCGCTCCCGCCGGAGATTGGCAACTGCTCCAACCTCACCATGCTCGGCCTCGCCGAGACCAGCATCTCCGGCCCGCTCCCGGCGACCCTGGGCCAGCTCAAGAGCCTCGACACCATCGCCATCTACACCACGATGCTCTCCGGGCCGATACCTCCCGAGCTCGGCCAATGCAGCAGCTTGGTCAACATCTACCTGTACGAGAACGCGCTCTCCGGGTCCATCCCGCCGCAGCTCGGCAGGCTCAGCAACCTCAAGAACCTGCTGCTGTGGCAGAACAACCTCGTCGGCGTCATACCGCCGGAGCTGGGGGCGTGCGCGGGGCTCACCGTCCTGGACCTGTCCATGAACGGCCTCACCGGACACATCCCGGCGTCGCTCGGGAACCTGACGTCGCTGCAGGAGCTGCAGCTCAGCGTGAACAAGGTGTCCGGCCCGGTCCCAGCCGAGCTCGCGCGCTGCACCAACCTCACCGACCTCGAGCTCGACAACAACCAGATATCCGGCGCCATCCCCGCTGAGATCGGCAAGCTCACGGCGCTGCGCATGCTCTACCTCTGGGCCAACCAGCTCACGGGGAGCATCCCGCCGGAGATCGGCGGCTGCGCGAACCTCGAGTCGCTCGACCTGTCGCAGAACGCGCTCACCGGGCCCATCCCACGTTCCCTCTTCCGGCTGCCGCGGCTCTCCAAGCTGCTGCTAATCGACAACACCCTCTCAGGCGAGATACCACCCGAGATTGGCAACTGCACGTCGCTCGTCCGGTTCCGCGCGAGCGGCAACCACCTCGCCGGCGCGATTCCTCCCGAGGTTGGTAAGCTTGGCAACCTCAGCTTCTTTGACCTGAGCTCGAACAGGTTGTCCGGCGCCATACCAGCGGAGATCGCCGGGTGCCGGAACCTCACGTTCGTCGACCTCCACGGCAATGCCATCGCCGGCGTTCTGCCGCCGGGGCTGTTCCACGACATGCTCTCGCTGCAGTACCTGGACCTGTCGTACAACTCCATCGGCGGCGCGATCCCGTCGGACATCGGCAAGCTCGGTTCGCTCACGAAGCTTGTTCTTGGCGGGAACAGGCTCACGGGACAGATACCTGCAGAGATCGGTTCCTGTTCACGGCTCCAGCTCCTGGACCTCGGCGGCAACACGCTGTCCGGCGCGATACCGGCGAGCATCGGCAAGATTCCTGGGCTGGAGATTGCTCTCAATCTGAGCTGCAACGGCTTGTCGGGCGGGATACCCAAGGAGTTCGGTGGCCTCGTGCGGCTTGGTGTGCTCGACGTGTCGCACAACCAGCTCTCCGGTGATCTGCAGCCGCTGTCCCCACTCCAGAACCTTGTGGCCCTCAACATCTCCTTCAACGACTTCACCGGCCGCGCGCCCGAGACGGCGTTCTTCGCTAAGCTGCCGACGAGCGACGTGGAGGGCAACCCAGGCTTGTGCCTGTCGCGGTGCCCCGGCGACGCCAGCGAGCGCGAGCGCGCGGCGCGGCGCGCTGCCCGCGTCGCCACCTCGGTCCTGGTGTCCGCGCTCGTCGCCCTCCTCGCCGCCGCGGCGTTCCTCCTCGTTGGCCGCCGCAGACGCTCATCCTCGTTGTTCGGCGGCGCGCGCTCCGACGAGGACAGCAAGGACGCCGAGATGCTGCCCCCGTGGGACGTGACGCTGTATCAGAAGCTGGAGATCAGCGTGGGCGACGTGGCGCGCAGCCTGACGCCCGCGAACGTGATCGGGCAGGGCTGGTCCGGGTCGGTGTACCGCGCGAGCGTGCCGTCCACGGGCGCGGCCATCGCCGTGAAGAGGTTCCGGTCGTGCGACGAGGCGTCCGCCGAGGCGTTCGCGTGCGAGGTCGGCGTGCTGCCCCGGGTGCGCCACCGCAACATCGTGCGGCTCCTCGGGTGGGCCGCCAACCGCCGGACGCGCCTCCTCTTCTACGACTACCTCCCGAACGGCACCCTCGGCGGGCTGCTGCACAGTGGCTGCGGCGGCGGCTCAACCGGCGCCGCGGTGGTGGAGTGGGAGGTTCGGCTCTCGATCGCCGTCGGCGTGGCCGAGGGCCTCGCGTACCTCCACCACGATTGCGTGCCAGCGATCCTCCACCGCGACGTCAAGGCCGACAACATCCTCCTCGGCGAGCGGTACGAGGCGTGCCTCGCCGACTTCGGCCTCGCTAGGGTCGCCGAGGACGGCGCCAACTCGTCGCCCCCGCCGTTCGCCGGGTCGTACGGGTACATCGCTCCCGGTAAGCCGGCCGCCTTTTTTTTCTCTCCTTCCCGTATACGTACAAGTACAATGCAATCCCGGTCGTTCGTTACAGCTTAGTACAAGAATCTGACGGTTGTGATTTGGTCCCTCCGTGTCCATGGCCTCCCGCGCAGAGTACGGGTGCTCGACCAAGATCACGACGAAGAGCGACGTGTACAGCTTTGGGGTGGTGCTGCTGGAGGCCATCACGGGGCGGCGACCGGTGGAGGCGGCGTTCGGGGAGGGCCGGAGCGTGGTGCAGTGGGTGCGCGAGCACCTCCACCAGAAGCGCGACCCCGCGGAGGTGATCGACCAGCGGCTGCAGGGGCGGCCGGACACGCAGGTGCAGGAGATGCTGCAGGCGCTCGGGATCGCGCTGCTGTGCGCCAGCGCGCGGCCCGAGGACCGACCGACCATGAAGGACGTGGCGGCGCTGCTGCGCGGCCTCCGGAGCGACAACGACGGCGCCGAGGCGCGGAAGGTCAGCGGCGGCGGCGGGTGCGGGGCGAGGCCGCTGGACTCGGCCAGGTGGGCCGCTGCGGCCTCCTCGCCTGCCAAACCCACGGCCCAACAAGCCCAGGCGCAGTCCACGTCTAGCTCGTTGGCGTACTCAATGTAATAGCGTCGCCGATCTAACTCAGAAGAGGACCGCCCATGGTGGCTTCATCTTCATCCAAGGCAAGGCAGGGTAGAAGGAGCGCGGCGGACGCTCATTGCATGATCATGTGGACCAGATCGATGTCGATCAGACGGAGGCGAAGGCAGGGTGGGGAAGACGAAGGCGCCACCATGAATCAATCAATGGATGGAAGCAAGCAATAATTCCTTGTACCATACGCATAGCTGTAGAGCAGTGTATCTGGCACCGAAGTTAAGCTACCCAATGATCATGATTTTGTCCGGAATCATTCGGCGTCGCCGCTCGCCGGCCGTGCAAAATGTTCAGGTGTGGGCACGGTATCAACGGCTGGTTCAGGTGAATGCTCCATGACCACGAGAGGACAGCTGGTAGGGCGTAGGAGGCGGGAGAGGATGGGTGCCCGACCTGATCTTCCTTGCTTCCTGTCCTGCCCGGCCACGTGGTAGCTAAAGCCGCTCCAGCTGCAATTCTGTTGCTGATGATGCTGTTCCATGCACTGCAAGATGGGTCATTCTCATGCATGCATGGACACATGGTGCCGGAGGCGAGGTTGCCTGGACGGAAAGGGACGCGCCAGCGGCTGGCCTGCGATCTGAATAATCGTCAAGCATTGCTCTCATCTTTTTCAATGCAGACGCCTGAAAAACCGGTACCTTTTACGAAGCCTACTACTGATGAATGCCAACAGGCCAACCGGGAGATTGGTGCAGCTGTCCGGGCCATAGAATGTTCAGCACAATCAGAGCAGGGAATCTCCATATAGCTAGCCTGCTACTGCTACTGTCCCCATATTTCTCACTCTCCAACCACTGGCCGTGGCCGACACACCAACTCCATGCGGAAAATGGATTTGTCATCCAAGGTGCTCTTACCATTACCGGTTGAAGCAAGTGCACATGTCTCCTAGCTAGCTTCATGGGTACGGCCATGGCACATTTGGCTTCGTTCGCCCGCCTCATTTACCTTAGCTTTTGTGGGAGCACAGGTCAGGTCCGACGCTTCAATGTTGTTCTCCCCACGTCTACATTGTTAACAATCGCAAGCTTGCTGGTGCCATACATTAGTTGGCTTTTATAGACACCTCGCTGTTGACGGACAAGCCGCCTAACGTTGAATGAAAATGCAAGCGCACCATCTCCCTAGCACTGGCACAACAACATGCATCCTCGCCAAGGGGCTGCCTACGTCCGTCTCCCAAGAAATCCACTCCAGCCTGAACGTTTGGTTCACTACAGTTACAACTGATCGACTCATCCGATGGCCAGCAAGAAATACTACTAGACATTGATGACTCTTTGGTTTAACGCTATGCATGCATATGTTACGTACATACGCATTATTGCCGATTAATCATGTCTTGGTGCAGCACAGCACACCTGAGCTGCGTCAGGCTCAGGCAGCAGTCGGCACATCAGTCATCAGGGCGGCGGACGAAACCGGCGTCGCACTCTCAGGCTACTACATTAGACTATCTCCAAACAGACCCATACGATGGTTTTAGGTCGTGTACAGTAAAAAGGTCGCACACCCAAACCTTTCCCTCTCCAACAGCGCGACCTTGGCCGGATCCAAGTCGCGCCTCTCCCTCTCCTTCCCTGTACCGAGCCCCTGAGCTCCCTCTGTTCCTCGCAAGAACCCACCTCGCCCTCATCGATCTCCCCCTCCATGGCGCAATAGCTCGAGGTGAGCGGCCCATGACCTTCCCCTCGCCCTCCTCTCTCTCCCCATGCTCTCGGTTCCGGAAATGGAGGCCGGAGTCGCCGTCGGGCGAAGCTCCGACAGGCAGCCATGGCAGACGATGTCGGGAGTACGACGTCCGTGCTCTTTGCCGGTCCATGTCTTTTTCTCTCTCCTTGTTATCTCCGGCGGCGGGGGAGCGGGTCCAGGTCCGGCAAGGCAGCCAAGGCCGGCGGCTCCTCTCCCCACCGGCGGCGCGCATCCTCCTGCCCCACCTGCGGCGACGGACATGGCGACGGTGCTGCAGCGCGCCTCCCTCGTCTCACGCCTGCGAGCGGGCAAGGCACCTGGCCATGGTGGCCCTCCCCAGATCCGGGGCGGCGGTGGGGGCGCGGCGCGGATCTGGGGCGGCGATGCGGAGCCCCCTCGATGCTGGCCGCGGCGAGGCGGAGCTGCCGCGCGGCCGCCGTGTTGAGCCGGCTCCGGTCGTCCCCTTCCCTCGGTGGTGGGCCCGGCGGAGACGCAAAGAGACTGAGGGAGGATGCTTTTTTGCCTTTCGCTTCGCCTCCGACCCAAAATCGCCGCTAAAGTACTGTGCGCGACGCATTTTTAGGAATGAGTCGTGTTATCGGAGACAGTCTTAGTATTGCATTGCATGCCAAGTGCCAAGCAGGCACTACGACGACTGACGATGGAGTTGTCTGGGCCAGAGAATGTCTGGTACGGTGGTGCTGGAGGGGCGCCGCGCATGCATTGTCCGGCCCGGGCGTGCGAGCATGATTGACGCATCATGCATGGGATGCATGATTCCATTCCATGGGTGAATGAGTGGATGATAGTATAACTATAAACATTTTTTAATAAAGCAACATTGCTACACATAGAATTTTTAATAAGAAAAATTTAACATCTCAACAAGTAGGAGAGATTAATGCAGATTGCACACCAAAGGTGGCTACGACCTTTCTGATTTTTTTATTTAGATTCCTTTGGAGAAACCGATAATTATAGTACTAGAACATTAATATACGTTTTAGGTTTGCACCACTACCCAATCCTAGATCTCACTTTAAGTTTTAACATTGATCTGCGAACGAGCCGGGGGCTCAGTGGTGGGAGTTGCTCGGTGGAGCCCTCATGGCCTAGGTTCGAGCCCCGCTCGACGCAGGTTTCGTACCGAGGTTTTTCTCCATTTTCTTTGGAGCGCGGCTGTTCCACAATGGTCAAGGTGTCATGCCCGTCACGTTTGGAGTCTAATGATCCACAAGTACCATTCAGCCGCGTGTGTCTTTAGGTATAGAAGTAGTAGGCTGATTAGCTTGTGTTCAAAGTGTGTGCGTGCGTGAGTGTGGTATGTGGTGTGAGTTTGTATGCAAGTTCAGATGCTACAACCTGTACTTGAAGTATTGAGGCATTCAAAAAAATTGATCTCGAGCAACGTGGGTGCATGTTTAAATGATGTATGCCATCTTAGAACCTAAAATCCTTAACTTTGATGTTTTTTTTTTAATTTTAACATTTTTTGTAAACTAATTTTAAATCTAACATTGTTTTTTTTAAACTAACACTTTTGGCCGCGCCTATTGTCATGGCGCGACGAAAAGCCTGTGCCGCGTCATGCATGGTGGCGCGGCGGGTGGATGACGTGACGACGACCCGAAATGCTGGCCGGTGACGTGGCAGGGCCTGCCGCGCCACCGATCTTGGCGCGGCAATGCCGCGCCCTGATCCGTGGCGCGGTAGAGCCGAATAAAAGCCCCCATGGCCAGTCCCGCCTCCCCGAGCAGCAAGGCCGCCTGCCCTCACCTGGCCGCCGCGCCCGCCGCCCGCTCGGCCCTTTGTTGCCGCCTCCCTCCCTCCCGTCCCTTCCATTCTCTGGCCGCCTCCCTCCCTCCTCGTCCTCGTTCAAGGTAATGACGCACTTTTTATTTTCGTTTAAATAGTGGGTAGGAATATTATGAATGGGAGTTAAGATTAGAAGAAAAATTATGTTTATGAACTATAGGCTACGGTTTGAAGGAATATATTAGTTTGATTTTGTCAATGTTAAGGTTAATTATTTAGTTAGAAGTATGTTTATCATGTATATTTTTTTGCTATATGTGTTGGTTATATTATTTTAGTTGCAATGCAAATGATTATATTTTACATTAATTTACGTTGTTTTGATTGATGTTTAATTTGAACCGTTTTATTAGATGGAAGACATGTTTCAGGAGCAGTTGTGGCGAAAACGGGGTCGTCTTAGAGAATTGTACCCCGACGAGTTTAGCAAAGATGCTCCCGTTCCTCCTGAACTCCTTGTCCCTAACTGTGACTATGGTCGTCCGGCCGACGTGTTTCAATCGAGACATCCGGATATAGCGGCTCGTTGCTTCTATACATGCAGTCATTTTAATGTAAGTAATTGTTTTCGTATGTTTTTTTCTTCATTTGTATTATTAGGTTACTAATATTTTGTTGGAATTTTATTGTGTAGGCCCATGAGATGTGCTTTTTCTTTCAGTGGATCGACGGTGCAGACAAATTTGACCCTAGGTACCTTCTTTTCGACGATTGGTGGAGAGGGCGACATCCACGAGAGCACTTCAAATGGTGGGTTCCACCTCCCCCTAACCCCCTCCAATGACGGCTAAGGAGAAGCACTTACCGCAGTTAGACGACTCGAGGAACCTCCTCTGTGCGATTGTGGAGATCGAGCTATGATAAACCCTGAGAATACGTTGGATTTTGTGTGTCCAAACAAGCATGAAGTAAGTGCAAAGTGTATGTGTTGAAATGTTGAGCTATATGTGTTCATGTACTAATGTCACCTTATTTAGGTGCATTCAATGGCGAAGTGTCGTTTCGAGGAGTGGTTGTATGGTCCTAAGAACCAATGGCCAGAAGAACATCGAAAGGCAAAGCAAAAGAAGAAAGAAAGGTTAATTTACAAAGCACCTCCAGTCAAGTGCGAATGTGGTGTTAAATCCAACTACGGTCTAGTTCATTCGGAGTTTGGAATAGACCATTATTGCAGCCATATGGTTGACTATGATGAGGTTGATTATTTTTGTGGTAACCATGAAATCGTATTTTGTTTCTTTTGCTAAGACATATATGATATAATTTTTCGTTTGAACAGAGCACTAGGAAATGCATGTGGGAATGTTATGATGGTCAAGCTAAGTTCTTGGATGAACTGAAGGGGAAAGAAGTAATTGCATGGAAGAGGGGATATGGATCTGACTACGTCAACCTTTTCGTTAAACATCACAAAGACAAGATGTGTGAGTTTGCTAGACAGCGCGGTATTTGTAACC